ATACTTCTGTAGGTTTATGAATGAGATCATGGCATATTGATAACCATGGCATATTGATAACCATGGCATATTGATAACCATGGCATGATCACAATACATGTACATTTAACTGGTTTGTATTCACTGGAAAACATTACTACATATGTACTTGGTTTGAAGGGAAACCAGTGCTACCTACTTGGTATGGAGATTTCAGTGGCAAATAATGCTTGCCTCCCAAACTCACAGGTTTTCCATGTCATACCACGCTCAAGTCAAGAGTCTGAGCTTGAGGGAGCCTTGCACATGCATAGCGGTACGCGGTATGGTTTGACTTTAGCCGGTCTGCGTACAAGATGATGTCATGGCTTCTGCACACTGTACTCTCTGATCTGAGTATAGTACAGCTAGTTAGCTAGCCACACCATGGACGCATGGTAATGACTAATGACATTATGTCCAACACGAGCACCCACTTTGCCTTTGCCGTTGGTGATGTTTTGTACGAGGTATCAATGGCCACAAGCATGAGAATACACACGGCTAACATCGAATCTAAAGGTATTACTTGTAAATAGTACTAGTATTAAGTAGTGGTTGCGACTTCGGCGATGATTTGTAAGAAAGGTTTGCTCCCCACACCGGAGCTCGCGCTATTCTGCCGACTTTACTTGACACTTGACTGACTCACGACTGCCATCCAGAAGCGGAGCGTCTCTGTAAGTTTGTATCCCTGGTGATGTTTGTGCCTGGAGAGCACTATATAAGTGGTGCTCTTCAGGCACAATCTTCCTCAGCCTACTCAAGCTCAACTGATGAGGGGTGAATTCCCCGAAACACTGTGTATTGAGCAGGGAGTGGTGCTTTCTTGCAGGTTTGCCGAGTCGAAGGTTCGATGGACTTCTCGTGTGCTCTGGATGGCAGTGGTGAGTCAGTCAAGTGTCAAGTAAAGTCGGCGGAATAGCGCGAGCTCCGGTGTGGGGAGCAAACCTTTCTTATTACTAGTATTACTAGTACTATTAAGTATTAGCAGCACCGCCAACTGCATGCCTTGGCCTTTCTGTGACTGGAACTGTGGTCTGTGGAAGTCTGTTGCATGACATGACTGTCTCTTAGTGTCTACAGTACAGTCTAGTCTGCTGTGTCATGAAACCTCTTGCCTTTGTAGCGCCTGTGCATGTGACTGTGTAACTGTAAAGACTTTAGTTCAAGTGTGTTGGACTTAGACTACAGAACTGTTAGATAGACTACAGGCTACAGCACAATGGCTGTACACCATCACTTGAAGTTGAAGTGGAAACGCGTGGCTTCCATTTTTCAAGCCATCAAGCCATTCAAGGTAACTGGTTTCATCTTATGGTTATGCCATGAGTCACTTGACAGCATGTATGCTGAGGTACACCGCAAAAATGTTTACTTGTCACCACGCATTCCCTCACTAGTGGGACCATTGTTATTAGGCTAGGGCCTGTTTTGGACTTCCCACTCTAAATAAAGAATACAAACAAACAAACGCTCCCTAGAGGGCCAGGGTCTCCACTTCCGCAAGAGTGCTGTTCTGGCGTTTGGACACAGCCGGCTCTCCGCATTTCGCTCCTTTTAATCATTGGCGCCCCATGATGTCTAGTTCTCAACACGCTCCAGTGCCACTTGTCTTTGATTACTACTCTTAGTCTTACTATCCCTACATCATACAGTACAAATGCTGAGTACATGCAATGCCCGTCCGTCCGTGTAGCCTGTAGCCTGTAGCCTACATGTAGCCTGTAGCCTGTAGATCTACAGTGTACTCGCTGTATGTCTAGGCGTAAAGAATAATGAAAATTCTAATTCAAGCATTCAGTGGTTAACGGTTGTGGGTATGGAAAAGGGAAAGGTCTGAAGAAAAGATTGACTGTCTGGTCACCACCAGGCACCAGGACCTTCGCTTGAGCCGTGAGTTGAGCTTTGAGGCCAGCGCTAGCGATGCTCTAACATTTTTCTTCACGTGACTTCGAAACTCACACTTCCTCGGTGACGCTACACTGTACGCTGTATACATGGTGCAATGACTATGTACATGACAGAGTGTCAGGGCCTAGGCCAGGGCCAGGGTACATGATGATGAGAACCTGAGGAAACCGGCCCCCAAAGGCCAAAGAGAGTGGCAAAGTGCCAAACATGCACACTGAGTCTGTACTGTGTACCAGGGGTACAGTACATGTACATGTAAGCACTGAATAATGAAGCCCTAAAACTAAGTAAACGTAAAAGAAAACCATGAAAACAACTGCCTGAGAACCCGCCAACGTAACGGGACCGGGATGCGGCTATTGTTAAAAACAAAGACAAGTAGATGTACGCCTACAAAGACAAAGACAAAGCTGCACAATGATTACTGTATAGGCGTAGCACTAGTAATACTAATAGGAGCACTTGCAGGATCATGGCCCACATGGGTGACTCGACGACTGCATGCTGTGTAGCCTACGATTCGAACACTCATTATTTTTTATGTTGTTATAATCTTTACCCCTGACCTTCATGATATCCATGATAACTGCCTACACTAGGCTACAGGCTTCCAGCCTACACTGACTGTACAGGCCGTGTGCTCCGTCGACTGTCTGCACTACTCTGTAGTGTAGATTCTACATGTAGGCTGTGTGCGTGTGCGTGTGCAGGCTGTAGGCTAGCGACTACGTGCACGAGTGAAAGGATTCTCTCTCTCTACTTGATCCGACTTACGTGATGCAAGGCCAAGGGCCTAGGGATATCAAGGGCCACGTAGCTGGTGTAAACTGTGAACTAGGGGTGAAAGTTGGCACTGAGATCCCGAGTTCGAGTACTCTGATTTTCTCCGATCGAATATTCGAGTATTCGAGTATTTTTCATCTCTTAAAAATTGCACACCAAGGGCTTTAAAATAACATGATACAACCCTGATTGAACCGAGTAGCAGTCATTTTTCTCGGGTATATTGGTTGGTGGGTCATTTGGGCTCTCTCTACTCGTGAACAAATGTTCACCACACAGCCTGCACATCACCATCTGCCGACTGCTGCCCTGAAACTGCAGATTTCTGTAGTAAATGCATGTACCATGTATGAACGAGTACTCTGATTTATTCCGAGTACGATTATTTTTGAAAAAACCGAGCGAGTACTCGAGTACTCGGTATAATCATGATAATTGTTTCACCCCTACTGTAAACCCTTAGACTTAGTACCCTGGCCGCCTTAGTAAGGGTTTACACCAGCATAGGCATAGCTAGCTCAGCTATTAGTATTACTTTTTTCATCTTGCCGTACGCATGCCTAGCTTGTGCTATAAAAGTCGTGACAGTTTTTCTGTTTCGACAGTTTCGCGTCTGTCGACATGTCGTGTGGATGGAGAAACGGTTAGCACTTCTTCTTCCTGGCTGCCATGCCATGTTCCTCTCTCGCTCGAGGTCGCTTAGCTGTTGATGGGTGTTGGTGACTTTGAATCGTTTGATCAACGCAGCGAACGGAAATCGGGTAAGGACGACTCGCAGATCAACTGGCAAAGGGGTAACGTTTTGTTCGACATGACTTGTGTCGCCTTCCGAGTTGACTATCTTCCTACTTCTAGTCGTGAGTACTGTCGTCACCATCACCAGTGGCATGATCGCTCGCTTTGTGCGTTTCTTTTTCGTTTGTTTGTTGTTTGTGCGTAAAGACCTATCCTGTATTCTAGCCGCTAGCGCTAGCCGGTATCATCGATCATGGGTTGTGGACCATCCTGGCCATGTGACATTGACTGGTGCCCAATGCAGATCGCTGCCAGGAGACTCGCTGAGGAAGAGAATGAAGAGGAGGAAGTGCTCCTGATGCAAGACCGTGCGGCGGCGGCGGGAAACGCTGCCGCTCAGTCCTGCTCCCGAGGAGTATTAGAAGCTCTGCGAAAGTGCGGCCTGGTCGAGAAGCAGCCTTTGAACACTCTTCCCAGCATTTACTTGGAACCACCGCCGGCGGTGAGTCACTCCATGTACGATAACTCTGACTCTGATAAGAGTCATAGTGGATACGCGCTAGGAGTAGGACGAAGCGCGTATCATAGGTACGATACGGAGGATGACGACGCTGACGAAGGAAGAAGATCGTGCATCGTATTCCAGAAGAGAGACACGTCGCAGCTACAGCCTCCGCGGGTCGTGGACTACCCGAAGCCCGTGTGTGCTGAGCCTCAGCCATCGCTGCGTGTCACTACCGCCAGTACTAGTATTGCTGATGCGCACCACACTGAACAGTCTGAAGATCTGCAACGACATGGTATTGACGATGCGGACAACACTAAACAGTCTGAAGATCTGCAACGACGTGCTACTGAAAGTGATGATGCGGACCACACTGAAGATCTGCCGCGTGGCACTGGTGCTGCTGCTGCTGGGTCTGGCCACTGCAATGTTATCAGTTCTATGGATAGGGAAATGAACGTCAGCTTCTAGAAAGTCATACCCTAGAACTAGAACTGCACCTCCTCAGGTACGTACATACATTCTAGATTACCATGGTACTGAGCTGGAGAACCGGCAACCACAGTTTCTGCTATAGAGGATTTCCAACCAACCGTGTACACAGTCATGAACCTTGCACAACTTAGTCTTTTCCTATTGGGTATTGTACATCATTGAATCCCATCCGGGTCACAAGTGACCTGGTGTTCTTTTCCCAAGCGGGTCCAAGTTACCCCCAAGCGGGTCCAAGTTGCCCCCAACCAGATCACCGACCTGGCTCTGGAGCAGACACCAAACCAGGGTTCTAGCCAATGGGGTGGGGGTGGGGGAGGGGCAGCACCACCCTTCTCCTTCTTGTGTTTTTTTTTAGTTCACACAGCGAAAATGCGGCCACAACTGCACCCGTACGTTGCATTTTTTTGTAGTAAGGCAATAGTGGAACAATAACATTTTTGTAAAAATGGGTGATCTGTTTGTTCCCCCTACAATTTTTCCTGGTTAGAACCTGTACCCTGTCAATTGACCACAAATGGATAGCAAGTTAGCAACCCCTGTGATATCACGATCACGTGGTCTTAGTTGCTCTCTGCCCGTACCATGTGGGCAAGAAAGAAAAAAAAAGAAGAAGAAGAAGAAGAAGAAGAAAAAGGGGGGACACTTGTAGTGCAGTGCCTGACACTGCCTGTGTGGCTGCACCAGATTCTCCTTCGTCTGTTCGTCTGTTCTCATTACCACTCCGGGCTGTACTGCTATATGATGTCAATGTGGGTTGAGTGAGCTGACCTGGCTGAGTGGGCTGACCTGGCTGAGTGGGCTGACCTGGCGGAGTGGGCTGACCTGGCTGAATGGGCTGACCTGGCTGAATGGGTTGACTTGGCTGAATGGGCTGAGTGGGCTGACCTGGCTGAATGGGTTGACCTGGCGGAGTGGGCTGACCTGGCTGAATGGGCTGACCTGGCTGAATGGGTTGACTTAGCTGAATGGGCTGAGTGGGCTGACCTGGCTGAGTGGTCTGACCTGGCTGAATGGTCTGACCTGGCTGAATGGTCTGACCTGGCTGAATGGTCTGACCTGGCGGAGTGGGCTGACCTGGCTGAATGGTCTGACCTGGCTGAGTGAGCTGACCTGGCTGAATGGGCTGACCTGGCTGAGTGAGCTGACCTGGCTGAATGGCCTGACCTGGCTGAATGGCCTGACCTGGCTGAGTGGGCTGACCTGGCTGAATGGGCTGACCTGGCTGACCTGGCTGAATGGGTTGACTTGGCTGAATGGGCTGAGTGGGCTGACCTGGCTGACCTAGCTGAATGGGTTGACCTGGCTGAATGGGCTGAGTGGGCTGACCTGGCTGAATGGGCTGAGTGGGCTGAATGGGAGCTACTTGAAGTACATAGCCCAGCTCTCTTAACTTGTCATCTTCAGAGCCTTTCTCTTGCTCCAGATCATTGGACTGACAATACGTACAACACCAGTCAAGAAGGCGTCGCCATGCGCTCCGAATACTTGTGAAGATGGCCATGGTCTTGATGTTTGTAATGGGTATCAGCAAATAAGAGAAGAGTTGAGGCTGTCGTGTTAGCCTTGACACAGAGTCTCAGCAGCTGAGCAATACATATAGGGACTTTGACAAGAGCAGAGTGCCACATACTACATAGTCCAGCTCTCTTAACTCGTCATCTTCAGAGCCGTTCTCTTGATCCAGATCATGGGATAGACAACACATACAACACCAGTCAAGAAATCGTCGCCATGCGCTCCGAATAATGCTGAAGATGAAGATGGTCTTGATGTTTGTAATGGGTATCAGCAAATACGAGCAGAGCTTGAGGCTGTCGGGTTAACTCTGACACAGAGTCCCAGCAGCAGAGTAAGACAAGCAGTGACTCGACAGTAGCACAGTACTAGGCGCAGTGACTTGACAGCAACAGCAGCAGCAGACAATCTCCGATAGGCGATAACTCCAGAGATGGTCATTGTCTTGAGAACATCAACCTAATGGTTTTTTTTCTTTTTTTTCTTCTTTTTTTTGCTTTGCATGGTAGTGTTAAAAATGCTGTGAAATTGTGTCAATCAACAAACAATCTACTTATTGTATTATGGCAATTCAACTCCTTGAAGCTTATGAATGATAAAATCAATCAATATTTAAACCTGGGGCCATGATTACGATAGGTAAGAAACGTACAGTGAGGTGGAGCAGGTATGCACTGCAATTTCTGGTGTGTTCAAACGCTACTAGTCTTGGAGACTCTTTTACCAGCAAAATACACACAATAATTTTTTCCCAAGTGTTCAACAAACTTTCAACTCAAAATTCTTTAAAAAGAAAATCTCAAAACTCAAAAGCATACTACGAACAGACCTACTGTGGTGAGAAGCAGCAATCTATCCAGTCAAATGAAATAGGTAAACGGAAGTAAAACACTAGTATAGTGCTTTCAAAAGTCCAGACCTCTGGTTTCAAAAAACGTTAGGCCAGCAGCTACACCACGTAAAATCTGTGATCACTTTGTGCATAACATTTCCGAAACTGGGCGTTTGTTATCCAGTCGCTTGAAATTTTTAGGAGAAAAATTGCGGGGGCTGCCTGAGCAATATTCAGAAGAAATTTCTGAAAACGTTCCCACCAAATTTGAATTATTTGAAAAAGTCTAGAGGTCTATACTTTTGAAACGCACTATAGTAGAGACGACGGTTCGATACCGGAACGGCTTGACAGCCAAATTTGTATAGACCCAAACCGATCATCAGCATTGATTGTTCACTCGAAATATGTTTGTGGAGGAAAACTGGCATGGTGAAGTTTACTCTGAGGCCAGAGTCAATCGAACTGAGCCACTCCTTTGTGTTGACCCATTGCCTCCAAGTTGCCCATTTTTTCGCTTCAAATCAGAGGTGGCTCCAAACCGGACAGGTTTTAGAGTGCACCTCCAATTCACTCTGGGTCTGAAATTAGGTAATTGCTATCGCTCCACGGCGGCCAGTACAGAGTAACAATAAGCCTTGTGTGTGCTTCCCTTAGTTTTGATCGGTATGCGGTGCTTTATTGGCGAGAGGCGAGCCGCTGTTTACCTGCGACAAGAAGATGATTTTTCGAAAGCCGTAAAACTCAAGTCGCAGTGCGAAGCAACATGTCAAAAACTCACCTGCTTGGTATGACGCTTCTGGTCATCGCAGAGCCATGAAATTTTCGGCTCGGAGTATAACACATCGATGCATCGTAGTCTGACTGTGACGTATGTTTTCTAATCAAAATACCAAGAGAGAAAGTGAATATTGAGTTCGTTCCGGTTTGCAACCAATGTCCGATTTGAAACCGTCGCCTCTACCTCCGGTGAGGAGACTCCACCTAGTGTTAGGGTTTGTGAAACAACGATGCACTTACACAATGCCTACTGACCCGTAGTCAATGTACCGGTGGCGGTGGTGTAGTTAATGCACTGGTTATACTGGTGTGTAAAGACTCTACATGGCCTGTTGCACAGCTATTTTGAGGGAAATCAGGATGCTCACTGTTAGTCCTGGTTCTGTGAATGGTCAGAAAGGTGAGAAATTGTCAATTGTTGACGACTTCTGCCCATTGTGATGTCAAGGACATCAGAAAGTAGAACTAGAAGACTTTACAATATAGTTCACACTGACAATAGTAAAGAAGAGGTTGATGCGACTTCGGCGACACTTATTTTATTTCACCGTCCAATGGCAGAAGCCAATGCAAAGGAGGGGGCGTTAGCCAGCCATGGCAAGAAAAGGGAAAAGAAAGGAAAAAGGAAAAAACCATATTAATAATAATAATAATACAAACTTAGAAGTTGCGACTTCGGCGGTAATAGTCATGAAGTTGATTGTTCCAACTAGGAACACACGCTTCTTGCCGAACTTGACACTTGACTGACTCACGACTGCCATCCGGAGCACACGAGGAGCACGTCGCACCTTCCACTCGGCAAACCTGCAAGAAAGCACCACTCCCTGCTCAATACACGGTGTTTCGGGGAATTCACCCCTCATCAGTTGAGCTTGAGTAGGCTGAGGAAGATTGTGCCTGAAAAGCACCACTTATATACTGCTCTCCAGGCCAAACCATCACCAGGGATACAAACTTACAGAGACGCTTTGTTTCCAGCGCGACAAACACCTCGTGAAGCTCCAGGTAGCAGCGTGAGTCAGAGTCGCTCATGGAGTTGTGATAAACAGACGTTGAGAGCCAGTATAGCTATTCACAACGCTGTCACCTCCAACAACTAGTCGCACGTCCGCGTGAGGGACAACAATACGAACTTAGAAGTTGCGACTTCGGCGGTAATAGTCATGAAGTTGATTGTTCCAACTAGGAACACACGCTTCTTGCCGAACTTACACTTGACTGACTCACGACTGCCATCCGGAGCACACGAGGAGCACGTCGCACCTTCCGTGTATTGAGCAGGGAGTGGTGCTTTCTTGCAGGTTTGCCGAGTGGAAGGTGCGACGTGCTCCTCGTGTGCTCCGGATGGCAGTCGTGAGTCAGTCAAGTGTCAAGTTCGGCAAGAAGCGTGTGTTCCTAGTTGGAACAATCAACTTAATAATAATACAATAATAATAATAATAATAATCGGAAGAACAGAACGCATCAGAGGGGTGAAATTTATCACTATGTTGACCATGGTGAATAGTGGTGAGATAAGCTAGCTAAAGAGGCGAGTGAGCCTAAAACTTGGCATGACATTTAACATGGTCTTTGAACTGTCTAACATGGGATATTGTCTTCATTTCCTTGGGCAGCTTGAGCCAATACGAATATGCAGAAAAGATAGTGGATTTGGTAAACATAGTTGAGAAAGTAAAAGTGGGGAGGCTTCCTGCAGTGTCATAAACAGTGAAATAGTTCAACTCATTTCACAATAATCATTCCAACATTTCGCCTCCACTGATAGTTAATGTTAGCGCTATTAGCTGAACTCTTTTTCGCGCTGCTTCTCACACCCTCTTACTGACAGGTGAGTTGGCCTTTATCAATGCTGGTTTGGGAGCTTGCACATCATTGCGAACCTGATGAAGGCAATTTTCTGGAACGTTGGAATGATTATTGTGAAATGAGTTGAAATATTGCAGTGTTAATGGAAGAGAGCGTGTGGGCTATACTCTTCATAGTTGACAAAGCTCTGGGAACTTGGGGAATTGTGTGTTGCTTCAAGTCGGCAGGAAAACCGCGAGCTCCCATGCAGGGAGCAACACACAATGAACAATAGTAGTAGCAGCTAACCGGTGAAAGAATATCAAATGAACTTGTGATCTCACGTGTGTGTGTGTGTGTGTGTGTGTGTGTGTGTGTGTGTGTGTGTGTGTGTATGTGTGTGTGTGTGTGTATATGTGTGTGTGTGTGTGTGTGTGTGTGTGTGTGTGTGTGTGTGTGTGTGTGTGTGTGTGTGTGTGTGTGTGTGTGTGTGTGTGTGTGTACACACGCGTGTGAATGATGTAAAGGCTACAGTGCAGATTTAAAAAACCGGCAAGGATTAATTTCAAGAAAAACTTCTCAAACGGAAAAGTTCGGAATTCCAGTCAGAGAATATCTATGCTGTTAGCAAGAGTAGATAAACAAGAGTGTGCAACTCCGGATCTCTCCTGCACAATCTGCAGATACCCCCGCCCACGGCGGAATTTTTTGTTGACGTCACCTTTTATCAGAAGAACGAGCATTTCGCCGCAGAGCAGTGTGAGAGCACGTGCTGGGTACCGACCTTGTAGTGTAAAGCCGGCCAAGAGCACGAGGGAAGACTTTCCGAAAGACTCGCAGCTCATGCGTTGTCGAAAAGATTATGTCAACAAAAAATTCCGCCGTGGGCCTACCCATCCGCGAGTTGCACACTCTTGTTTATCTACTCTTGCTGTTAGTAATGAGCCTTTAGAGCAATATGGAAATTGACAGAGGACTGAACGCAGCGAATGTTTTCTGGAAATTGTGTGATTGTGTGTGTGTGTGTGTGTGTGTGTGTGTGTGTGTGTGTGTGTGTTTTGTGTGTACGCCGCTGTTTTCTTCTTGTACCACACAGGGAAAAATTGTGCACACGCTAGCGCCGTCGACTGGAGATGACACAGTGGCAGTTGAATCTCTCAGCTACCATCCCAAGCAATGCTGTCTACTATCTACCTGTGGTAATGTTGTCAAGGTGTGGAAAGGTGAAGACTGGAAGCAGGCGCAGGAGACTGGACAGATACCTGGTGTTGAGGAGAAACGCGACTTCCCTGTTCTGGCTGGTTACGTGCCTGACGTGCCACGAGAACTCTTGCTACCCAAGCAGTTCAGGAAGATATGACATCATTTCTGTTTCCCATGATGTCATCAGCTTGACTGTCATGACATCATCATTGATGAGAATAGTGAATACTGGGCATGTAAGTGTGAATGTGTGTGCGTGTGAGAAAAAAGCAATACTCGAAATTGCCTGGTTGTGTTGTTCTAATGCCAGTCTTAGCTACCACATACATTCCGTCCTTGAGAGAGCTGTAGCACAACACACTACGCAGTACGCACTACCACAATACACTGTACATCACAGACTTCATCTGCAGAGAGCCAGTTTTTCCTGTATAACAATTATTCAACACACTTCCATTATAAATCCTTCCAACAAACTAAATCCTTCAAACATAACACTCATTCTTGGCTTGTCTTTTATTACATAATTCTTCTAACGATATTGTTTGTTACTGTTACATTCCATGTCAAGAGTACAGTGTACTTGAAGAAGAAGAAGTTGAAGTATATTTTGTGTACTCTTGTTCAATGTTGTGTCCACGCAATCTGCTCTGCTTTTTCGACCATTCACACGAGAACTGCGCTACGGGTTGCCTTGTGCCAGTTGTGGACGGTCTGAACCAGGGAGTCGTACCCAAACTGTTTGGGCACGACTCCCTGGTTTGATCTCAGCTCGCACAGGTACCAGTACACAGGCCTGACTAGATACAAGGTAAAGCCATAACTGGCAATTGCATGCGCATTTGGGGTATCACTGCATGGCTTCCAAGTGTGGATCAGGCCGGGCCGGGCTAGCGGTTTTGTTAGTGCACAGCTCACCCGAATGCAGTGCACAGCTCACCCGAATGCAGTGCACAGCTCACCCGAATGCAGTGCACAGCTCACCCGAATGCAGTGCACAGCTCACCCGAATGCAGTGCACTCTATTTTCTCTAAAGACTTAGCACTCTGCTATGCCAGTTATTTGACCTCAGATAATAATATGTGTGCACTATTTCGGCTTGAGTAGCGGTTCAGGTTTTGTCTTGCAGAAGTACGTAGAAGCTTCTTTGTCCATGTACATGAGTAACGTCTGCACATACTTGAAGTACCAGTACCAGCGCCGGGAGTACATGTATATCAGGGGGCTTGTAATATTATACTCTTGGTACCAGGCATATACAGCAGAAGTGCAGGCCTGGCGAATAACAACATCTCATAATCATACAGCTCACGACTACGAACACTACGGAGGATTAGCAAGGCGAAATTCACGTTCGTGTTCGGACTCCGAGGAAAGTCGAACTCAGTGATGGAACTCGCGCTATGAGAAGGATTAGCCAACAGAATTCGCACATGCATGCCGCTGACACGTCGTCCATTGTGTACAGACAGTACAGTGTAGTAAATATTATGACCCTCCTGACACGAATTCGCGATTCGTGTTTCGACTACTTTCCGAATGAAAAATACGAAAGTTCGCAATCCAGTTCGCGAACCGAAAAATGTTCACGAACACGAACGCGAATATCGTCTTGCTAATCATCCGTACTATCTTCAGATCAAGTGACCACTTGACTTCACACTTTAAAACTTCGCGACTAATGGCAACTCGTGAATACGTTTCTCATGTCCATTTATTTTCTTTTTCTTTTTTTAAATCTAGGAAATTCAATGTACGAGTCGTATTGTACTCAAATAATTGGCATGACGACTAGGGTACACGAATTCGCATGATGACTAGGGTTTTAACTCGGATACTGAGCCAGTAATAAATGTAAAAAAGAGAAGAAAACACATGAGAACGCGTTTTGCAGCAACTATCCACGACTGTAACATGATAAACGGTCAGAAAGTGTGATAATAGGGCACAAAACTCACAAGCTACTGAGACATTCAGCGACCTGAGACCTAGCTCTAACACATCTCCAGTGCGCAAACCAACTATGATTTCTCTTTCCTTTTCCCCTTTTCGATTACCTCAACTAGTGAATCAAACTATGCTACTGTACTCGATTCTTTTTTCAACTAATCATCGCCTCTTGTATGGGAAAACTCAAAACAATGCTGCACACACACACGTACACACAAATGTCAAAACTAAAAACGTTTTAAAAATGGCACTGAAATCGGAATGAAAGCTATGGCACTCGAATCGCCACACTTCATTCTAGTGATGCACATGCATGCACTGTTGCCATGGTTATGTTCAGTAGAACCGTGCAGAGGTTGGATTTTTGGATTTGGATTTATATTTACAGTGGTGACTATAACAGACAATTGCCTAATAACAATAGACCCACTCGAGGGTAATTCGAGTTGCTAAAGAGTACGACAAACGCACCTGCTAGTTCTGCCGCACAGACCGGCGGTACACGCTATGCTACCTAACCCCTATGATAGTATCACTCGCACCAGCTTTATGGTGTATTCGAGGAATTGGCCACGACAGACAATAATACAGAAAAAGTCGAACGCTCAGGTTTTCATCCACTTCTTCGCTTCTGACCGTACGGATGCTCATTTCGGCGTGTAAGTCCTAACCAAATACAGACCAATTTCACGAAGGTAGCCGCGGATCTTCCCTCGGATAGACGTTCTATACTGATGCAACATAATACCTAAACCTAGAAGAGCAACGACAGCACAGTGCAGGAGACCGATGCCCATGCTTGGGACATTGCGTGCCATGGAGTCACGAGAAGCACACTGGCGTGCTATCGTGTCACGGTAGTTAAAATACGTCTTCTGCAGGACCTGCTCTCGTCCTTTCGGTGTCTCCATGCGACTGGCAATGTCGCACCACTCCCCCAGATCGTCCTCTTTCTCGGCACACAGCTTAGTTCTGAACGTGTGCGATAACACAGTACTGTTTGCCATCTTACCGCGGTACGTGTGATGTCGGTGGTACGCCTCCTCTGACGACGACGTCATTCTGATGAATTCAGCAGCTTCGTCAATGCTAGCGTAGCGAGACAGGTCGACGTAAGAGTCTTCGGTCGGCGCGACAAACTCGTACCCGGGCATGTGATCTTGACTCAGCACGATCGGAACAGTGCCGACTTTCAGTGCCCGGTGAAACTTCTCGGTAATGTAGTCCACGCAGACAGCATTCTCCGCGGCGAAGTTGAACAGGTACTTCTCCAGTACGGTGTCAGTGTCTTGTCCAGGTGGCATTGCGTGATTGTGAAAGCACCTGCCCATGCTGTGCACTTCCACCTTGCTCATCAAGTATTGCAGTAGCTGGCTGCGGCCGCCGTACGACTTGCAGTTGCTAACCAAAACTGACACAGGCACGCGCTGCCGTTCACGGTAAGGAACTTTCAGTGGCTGGAGGAACTTCTCGCAGAAGCATTCGCCCGGGTGCGTGAGAGATTGCGCAATGTCACTACTGCGCGAAAATGTCCTCAGCAAGTTGATCTCTTCCATCGGCACCGAGTACTTTGCAGCAACGTACGGCGGCTCTCCACTGCTCATCATGAACGCTTGGTGCTTGTGACCTCTCATTGGCATAGGCTGGCGGTATTTCGGGTGAAAGTCCACAATGTCTGCCGTGGACAACATGGCTTTGTCAGCAGTATATACCATGTCCATACCATCACAACAGCCGAAATGCAGCAGGCCGTCTTTAGGGGGATGAATGACGAAGGGCAGGGCGCTGCGTGTATTCCAGAACTCCTCGTCCCACAGCAGGATGACAAACTGTTTGCGTGGCTTGCTGCAGATCCTTACCTCTCCCGGGTGCCGGCACTGGCTGTAGATTCTGACAGACCGAGGCCAAGCGTAAGCAGCACCATCTTCTCCCCACACTTGCGACACCTTGGCCAGTTCTGTTTCATTTGAGTATTGGCCGACTGACGGTTTGTTCCGCTGTACCCTGGTGCCACTCAGTCTGTGATGACCATTTTCCCCTGCGGCGTCCGCTATGTCCCTACCCGCGGCATCCATGTCTCTTCGCTTCAGCAAGGGTGGCAAGCCATTCTGCAAGCTTGCTCGGTTTGAAATGGTCCTTACTGTAAAGTGTGCATCAGGCAAGTTACCGCCACTGAGGAGAAACACAGCCGAGGCACTTGCCAACGACAACACAATAATCCAAACGCGCGAGAGACTTCGGCGCTTTGTAAAAGTATGGATCATAGTACACAGTTCAGCACCACAGCTCAGCAACACAGACTCAGTTCAGTTCCACACACTCAGTGCAGCTCCACAACACAGTACAGCTCCTCAGCACAGCTCCAGGGTTCAGCTCCACAGCCCAGCTCCACGCACTCAGTTCAGCTCCGAGCCCAAGGTTCAGCTGCACAGCACAGTGGCAGACTAGTAGAGCTAGCAAGTAAGTGTGCCATCCACACACACACACATCGTCAGTGCTGCACCTTTAGTGGGTTTACGCGGATCCGACACACAAGTCACTGATTCAGTGACAGGCTGAGGTCAAAATTAATAATGCCTGCTGACGATCTGCAAACCATGGCCCAGTCGACGGCGAGGTTTTCAAGTTTTTGTAGTGCAACAAAGCCCAGGCTCTCAGTCTGTCTCACCCCGCAAAGTTCCCTGCGAGACCATTGAACGGCAGAGGCTGCAGCATGCTTAGCAGCTAGCACCTAACCACTGCTGCCTGTCACCAGGGAGTCGTAAAATACCTCTTTACGACTCCCTGCCTGTCACGTTGAAATGTCCACCGCATACATCCTCAGGGCCTGTTCAGTTTGCTGATTGTCATTATTTTCTCGCATTCATTTCCTCTTTCGCGAATTCGAATCTTTTTTCCATTATTTTTTACGAACTGCACTGGGTACCGTACGCGGTGTCAACCGCGTACCGGTGACAAGCTCGAGTGAGTGCCTTTCGAGAATTAGTGTACCGCTGAGTGTACCGCTAGCGCTATACACTTGGTCGATACTTTGTCGACACTTTGTTGATACTTTGTTGACACGTGACCACGTCAGCGGTCTAATTATTATTTGTGCCAATGCCACTCGCTAAACGTCGATGTCGCGTACGAGAAAGCTATCGCGCGACGACTTTCCTGTGACGCGAAATAGTTGAGAACTGCAGAAGTCGACGAAGACGAACGAGGAGGCCCCTTTCGCAGTTTCGGTACCCCTGACGGGAAGGAGAACTGCAGAATTATTAGAGGTCGACGACTTAATTTGGTAATCGTTTTAGTACCTCGAACCCCGTGCTGAGTTTGATACGGTTTCTGGTATCTTGGCCGTAGACTACTACGCATACTGCTTCTAGCGGTTTCTTTGGATTTTACCAAGAGTACATAACCCCCCAGAGTGTGCAACTCCCACATACCCTGCTGTCCCGACAGAATTTCAAGTTGACGTCATTATTTATGACGCAATGCTCCTTGCACCAGTGATTTACAACATGTGTACGGGTGTCAACGCATCACACGTTTTTCTTTCCAATAATTTGTACAGGATCGATCGGCTTCGGTCAACCACAGGTTCCGGATTCGTCTGATAATCCGTGTACAGTGCGCATTGCATCATCAAAATGACGTCAACTTGAAATTCTGTCGGGACAGCACCCATAGTGGAGTTGCACACTCTGGGGGGTTATGTACTCTTGATTTTACTGATTGATTGGAAAGGCTTTCTGTCTAAAGCCTTTCCATACGAGGTGATTCGTCATTATTTAACACGAAAGTAAAAAAGCCTTCCGTAGGGTTCGAGGTGTGAATCTTTCCATTTCATCCTCTAAAAATGTAATACTGATGTCCTTGGATTGCAATGTTGGGATTCTCATTCACATAATCCTTGGTGTTGGGAAGCAGGTGGCAGTTGAAAAATGGCAATTTTTCCGCATATTATTTGTTGTGGTCATTTCTTAACATCGTGGTAAAATAGGCCTTAGCAGCACAATTTCAAGTCAGTTTTCAATAGAAGGAGACCCTACGTCTTCAGGATGGTCCAGCAAGACTGGATCAAGATCATGTTCATCCAAATACAAGCCATTCAAGCTTACATAGCAATAGGTGTATCACCCTGATTTCATGTGTAATTGTGATCAACATCTGTTATCAAATTCAGTGATTGCCAATGTTTGGCCATTACAAGGGCCAACACACCGACATTCCTCCTTCCCAGGCGTCGTTTCCAGTATGTAGCTATCATATGCTTCCTATTCAGCTAAATATGTTGTCACTCGAGGTTGAAACCAGCGGCTATGACTCTCTTATACTCTATTTTACCGTAAACATCGCGCACATGCAGACTGAAAGCTCTTGCAATGTCACTTCCTGAAGGAATATCAGTCTCAATTTTGGAGGCGAACTTGACAGAACATTGGCAATGGCAATGGCAAAAAGAAATTTGACGTGACTTTTTGCAGGTGCTTGCAATGAGATATTTTACCGATTTGTTAAGAAATGACTCAATGTTAAAAAATTACGAATCACCTCGTACTGGTGCTCGATGTTTTTTCAGTTTGGGGACACCAAAATTAGTGTACCGCTAAAGACACGTGGTCGACACGTTGTTGACACGTTGTTGACACTTTGTTGACACGTGACCCAATTACCGGCCTACCAAGTGCCTTTGGCGACCGCTAACAGCAACTGTGGAACAGTGCAGTGCCCTTTTTTGGAGCAACGTACGAGTAGTGCCCGTGGATTATGACCCCGCGACCCCAATCTACGTGGCGGTCCGCAATTCGCTACTTCATACTGACTGGCGTCCGGCATCGTCCCGAATTTGGCCACAATCTGCTCTCGGGACCCCTATAAGGCTATAGGGCTCTCTGACCTGCTCCATCTCCGCCATCGTCAATGTACTGCGCATCCACCCAGGCCAGGACTGCACTTACTTACGGGAAGGAGTATTTGCGAGATGGAACCTGGGAACTGGAAGACGACGAAGAGGAAGCGTGGGAATCCGGCGTCAATGGCTGGGATGTAAGTCCAACATTGCTGGTGCCAGAGTTGCCACTGCTTGCTTATAAGGGAATCATGTGTGTTGCCTTTTTGCCTTTTCCGACGTCCTCCTCCGACTGTACTCCCGATCCCAGGACTGAACTTACGGTAAGGAGTGCTTCCAAGATGGGAGACGAAGAAGAAGAAGCCGCTGAATCCGGCGGCAATGGCTGGGATGTAAGTCCAACATTGCTGGTGCTAGAGTTGCCACTGCTTGTTTATAAGGGATTCATGTGTGTTGCCCTTTTTTGCCTTCTCCCATGTTCTCCTCCGACTGTACTGGTGAACGCTGTCACATATGTTGCCCTTTCCAGGCAGTAGAAGGGGGGGGGGCGGCGGCGGGGGCAGCACATCCTGGCATCCAGGAATGCTAGGCCCTAGGAACTAGGCAATCTGACCTTTCCTCTTACTCCAATAATGGTATGGATGGGGAGTTCTTGAACATCCTCAGTCTTGTTAGAGTGAACTGTGCAACTCGGCAATCGGTGATAGCAGAGGACCAATGCCGATGGCGATGCTCCTTCCTTTTTCTCTGTCACAGGCTGCGTTCTCGAGAGGAAGCGTTATTTCTGCATTCCAAGAAGGACGGCACAATGGTGAGTGGAACTTCGTGGGTGTGCAGCCTTGCTAGTTGAATTGTAAATCAACCATTCTTCCTGTCTCTCACTTCTTCAATGTCCTCCTCAGTGTCGGACTGTCCGCGTCGCATTGAACTGGTCCGATGAGGCTGCTATTGCACACACAGTGAGGGAACTCCCATACGGGAACTCGGAAGTACTGCTACAGTACAGGTAAGGTGGCCATTGCTTATGTGCGTGCGCCGTTGTTGTCAACTTCTAAGCCAGCTGTACTCCAACCTACATGGAGTTTGAGAGTAGTCAGCTGGCGAACTACAATTGAAGTTTAGACGTTATATGCCGCGGCTTGGTCAGCTTTTTCAGTTTCACAATGCATTGCACTCAGCACCGCTTCTCGGAATATCTTGTCAGGATAGCTGTGGAACGCATCCTCCCCAGTGCGGGAACGGCAAATGTGCTGTTCATTTTTTAGGCTTGCTTTTATGGTACGTACAAATCCCCATTGAAAAGACATAGTGGAGACCAGAAACTGCAAATAGATGTTGGGAACCGCGAAGACCACCCTTCCTTGTCAAGTTCCCTGAGGGTGTGGAGGGGGGGGGGGGAGCGGAGGAGGGACATTCCTGCACTGCTTAAAGCAGGATTCACAGGAGCATTTTCAGAAATTGCTTGTACATTTGTACTAGTTGTAACCGACAAACGCATTCTCATTGAGCTTTGACTTGAGGCACGTCAGCAAGGCGCTGTTGCATCGCTGACGTCTTGTCCTGATTCTGTGAATGGTATTTTGTGCGAGTTCGCATCGCACGCAGAATCGCAGGTCGTGTCGCATTGCGCAGTACACTGCCAAATTGCTTCTGTGAATCCCACGTGAATGGGAATTCCAATGGGAATGTAATCCATTGCCAACAGGTGTATTCCCGAGCTGCGCATCATACTGCAAAATTGCTCCTGTGCATGCAAATGGATTTCATTGCTCTTCTGTAGTTTGGGAAATTCTCGATTATGATAATTCTGCGTGTGTGTGTACACCAGCCCTGAACATACATGTAGGGGACCCATTTGTGGTTTCTCATAGCCTACCTCACGACCTTATGCTTTCTTCCTGTATCACTTGTATCTTGCAGGTATATCACCCCGTGACGACCACATCGAAGTCTGAAATTGAAGTGTGAAGATGCTTCAGCAACCCCTTCATATTTTTCCATTGCTTTTATTGTGCTTCTACTGTGCATGTGTGTAACCTGTGGGGTATGCATGTGATGACAATGTATGCCGGTGACACGGTCAGATTTTGTCCATGCGTGTAACGTACACTGCATGCTATCGTTGAAAAGGATTTGCCACTTACGATCTTCGGACGAGTATCAGGTCAGCTTGGTTTTGTGTGGGCTGTACCAGATGCTGTTCACTTCTCTATCTGTTGGATGTGTGACTTTCTGCAAGTTTCTGGTGTGTGGTGGCCACTTCTTTGCTTGTCTTTGTATGACATTACAATAATTCTGTATTCACTGCTTCCATGGTGTGGTCTGCAAACTGCAATCCTTAGGCAAATATCATCACGGTTTGCAATGTTGTGCTTTGGCCGCTAGCTTACCTACACATTGTAGTTGAATTATTTTTGTTTCACAACTGACTTCCTGAAGTATGGTGGCCACTGCTTTGCATGGCATTATACAATCAAGAATTTCCTGTTTGGGTCGTGTGTGTGTGTATGTATGTGTGTGCGCGCCCATGTGTGTGTGTGTGCCATGTGCATGTGCGTGTTTGTCACAAGGTGTCTGTGTGCGGGGTAGCGAGGTGGGGAGGGCTGGAATGTATCAGTGTGCTACTGCAGTCGCATGGCTACATACAGTGCATCGCGCGCGTGCTCACCATGTTTATCTTCGGAGCTGGGCTAGGGAGGGGGAGGGAACAGAAAAAGAACTGAAATTACCCATATAAAAACCGCTCTGTGAGCGGTTCTGAAAAACCTCTACTGGTGCAGCCCCGTCGTAAAAGTAAGAAATTAGAACTGGCGCATTGTCCTCCCAAATGTGAACTGATCCACCTAAATCGCGATTGACGGGACCCGAACGCACCAGTAGCACGAGGTCGGGAGGGAACAGGATCACAGCCGGCGTCGGCGCTGATCAAGTTACCATACAACACTCATCTACCCCGAAGCCCACCTTTGCCGCTTTGGCTTTGGCT